AAGAAAGGACTTGTGTCGCTAAAGTTTCGTCGGAACGAAGTTACGGAAAATTAACTAACGGACGGAGACGTAACAATACTTTAAGAGTGGGGACGGTATAAAAAAAGGAAATGTGAGTAAAAACTCAATTATTATATGGTATGTGTATAAACACTATTGTGATAGATAGGATGATTTCTCGCTTTGACATGTAAATGTGTGTTTTAAATTATAACTTGTAATTTGGTACAAGTTCTCAATTATCTTATTGCCTTGAAGAGAAGTAACTTTCACTTTTCTAGATTTGATTTTAGCCTAATGTAAATGCAATCATATTTGTTATACAAATGATACATGTATCATATAAACTTTAAGTAACACGCTTTTATCAGTAATAAAACTTTATTGGAAAAAGAAAACTAATGCAAACATTATGCACACAAACTACGTCCATATACAAAAATGACCAGACTTCACTGAATCCATCATATATATATATATCCTCTTAACTCTCAGCTAAATATTTGAGCTCTTCCGAGGTTAACGTACAACTGGGGAAGTTCTGAGCACAGAGATTAAGGGACAGGCCAGTAACACCGATGTCGTAAGCTTCATGGTATTTCTGGAAACTCTCTCCTCCATCTATGTTGTTGCTAACGAAGAGAAAGTAATAAGTTACCAAGCAGTCAGACAGTAAAAATAAAGTACATCAAATACTGATGATAAACAACACTTTATCACGTAAACAGAAATTGTTGATAAATTAAGGCAACCCTGATCACATTTACAGATTATGTTCACAATTTAAAGCAACATTTTCTAAGTGGATCCTCTCAACAGAATGCGATGGTTTTGAATACATAATGTCTGTTTAGTAATCTAATTGATATATAAGTATTCCTACCATTATTCGCAGATTAGACAAAAACCTCGATACTAATGTTTATACTATGTTTCTGAAGACTAGGCCTACTTACTCGAATACACGAGACAGCTCAATGTTATATTCATGAGGGCTAACTCCAACTTCACAGACCATCTTCTGAAGACAAGTATCTTTATCATTCTTCGCAATCACGTCGAAGATTTCAGTTAGGCCTAACGAAGGATTTCGGAGATCGTCATCGATGCCCTCATTGTTACGTTTATGAATCCTATGATGGTAATGGGAACTATAACCCCTGTACGTACGTCCATGTCCATATGATGGGTAGTGGCCGTAACTGTAGTAAAATGGGTGGTGGAAAGCCACGTGTTTCAGAAGTAACAAACCTAGCAGACTCTCCACCGAATACCATTGAATGGCGAGAAGAATGAACAAAAGAACTGTGGCGATTTTCATTATTTCTACAAAATAAAAAGACAGATCCTTCATTCAATAGTTAAACAAACGTGAATAATTTATTTTATTCATATTCCAAAGTGAAATAGTTTCCGTATTCTTAGACTCTGGACGTTATAATTACATAGTATATTTTCAGATATTATAACGAGTTAGTCACAATCGCTTAACGTTCTTTTCTCTCTCTCTCTGTTTAGAACAGATCAACCTGCACTTATTTAATTGTTGATCTTGAGAAACCAAAAACATTTTTTTACTATGTAGTAATGTCCAATATGCACATAATGCAATACAATAATGAACAGTATATGAGTCTGTGCTTTAAAACTGGGGCCTCCGATCTAACAGCCAAGAATTCGTACACGAGTATACGAATACAACATATGCTAGAGAGTTTAAAGCTCAATTATAAGTATAATTTAAAATAACAGACACATTTAACTTAATCGATCCTGACATATCGTATACTTACGTTGTCTGTAAATCTCTTTTCAAAGGCCTATAAACTTTCCTTGATATTCTGGTAAGGTCTGTCTGTCTGATATTCTATCGTATCGTATTGACTTGGAAGGACTTTTGATTTTAAAATCTAACAACTGTTTCAGGAGCTTTTATACTAACCGACTAGCAAATTACTCAATCCTTTCAGAAACAATATATTAGTTGAACTTGGACTACTCAAGGTCAGTGAAAGTGATTTCACTTGAATATGTGCTGCATGTCACGAGGTTAGGTTAATGAACCTAAGATGACCGGTATCTGGTGTCAATTCCCTACTGACCGATGGTCTGTGGTTCGGCTGTAAGAAGTACAATATGTTCTGTTGATTTTCTAATCAGCAAAGTATAGATTTCATCATGCTGTACGTAAGACAAATAAAATAAAACAAGTCAACTTCGTAAAACCTGTCATTTGTTTCATCAAAGAAAAATTTGTATCTATACTTATATATATATGATCTTACAGGGACGCCATTTAGGTAGAGCAAGGGGGTAATTACCTCCCTGTGTTTAGTATCATTTGTTTCTTTCGGGAACAATACATTTAAAATATGTAGTTTGTATTATTTGGATGATGATGTAATAACACAGAGCAAATGTTCCAAAAAGGGACTGATTTTCACATTTGAATCTGTATAACACTCAAGCGTTATTAATTCTAAACAAATGCCAGAACTTTCATATACACAGCTGGTGAGTGTCTTGTGGCTACAATAAATAAGTTTAATCATAAGATCTCTTCTCCCTAAAACTACCAAATTCGAATCATTTTTGAAAGAGAATAAAGGTTATTTTGACTAAAAATCAACGTAACAAATAATTTAAAACTATATTTTTAATGATACATTTTTCATGGATTATGAATATATGCGTAGTTTACTAATATATAGAATAAGGTTTTGCGAAGTTTATGAATATAACAAATATTACGGATACGGTTTCTTGTGGTTTATCTATTACGAATATTGTGGATACTCTTTCGTGCAGTTTCATAATATAAGGAATACTGCGGATAGTGTTTCGTGTGGTTTATAAATACTAACTAAGGATTCTCATTAAAGAAGTAGCCCGGCATGGCCACGTGGTTAGGGCGCTTTCAGCTGTGGGGGCGTTATAATGTTGGTAAAAGAGTTGGCGGTGGGTGGTGATGACTAGTTGTCTTCCCTGCAGATAGCCCTAGTGTAGCTTTGCGCGAAATTCAAAACAAACAAACATTGAGGAAGCAATAATTGTAAAAAGGACAATATTAGATAACGCCCCTTCTTCTTTCTCATGTTATTAAATCCCTAATGTTATCAGATACTAATTGCATAACCTGCTTTTTGAAGGTAATAATTGACTCACTTAATTGATTATGTACTGGTGTCTCTAAATTCAAAGCGAAAAGTCTATGAAAAGTGGACCTATTTCAGGGCGATATTTTATCCCCCTTCTCCGACAAAAATCCTCAAGCAAAAGAGCATTTGTACGCCGTAGGAAAGATTACAGTTACCACACAAAAAATTATGATAATCACTGTGGGTGATGGATGCTAACACACATAATGGATCATCTTTATAGTAAAATAACGAATATACTAGATCAGGTTCTGCGTAGTTTAAGAATACAATGAATACTGAGAATAAGGTTTTATGTAGTTTGTTAACGTAGCAAATAGTGAAAGTACGGTTTAGTGTAGTTTGTTAACGTAGCAAATAGTGAAAGTACGGTTTAGTGTAGTTTGTTAACGTAGCAAATAGTGAACCTCAGTAGTTGTAACGTTAACAAACTACACAAAACCGTACTCCTCAGTAGTTGTAACGTTAACAAACTATACGAAACCGTACTCTTACTATTTGCTACGATAACAAATTACACAAAACCGTATTATCAGTATTTGTTACATTAAAAACTACATAACACCATACTCTTACTATTTGTTACGTTTATAAACTACACAAAACCGTATAATACGGTTTTGTGTGACTTATGAATATACAAAATGCTGAAGATACATTTGGAAGTGTAATATAATTCAACTACTGATATTGCTAGCGTGCATTATATACTAAATACACTGTCACCAATGTCCTGTTTTGATGTTTCTTGGGTCGCTCAGCTGACCAACAGAAATCTCAATTGTTTCCATTCTTTACGAATAAGGAAAAATTTTAAATATAATTCATAATCCTATGTTGTAAAGATAATTAAAACTTATGCGTATAGACAGACATGTTACAGATTTTTTGTAGTTATAATTTTATACATGCAATGTTTTTAAATAACTCCATAACGCCAGGTGTTCTACTATGTAGCAGAAAGTCAGACATGTTACTGATTTTTTAAAAAAAACTTAACAGGACATTTCTGTCTCTAAAATATTCATTATTAGCTTCCAGTTCAGTTCAATTGAAACATATAAAATGAGATAACTTTGGACCTTCAACCGTGTTTAGTACTCGTTCTTTAAAACCTATTCTTATCCTATTTTAGTTGATTTCATTTTACTACTGACTTCACATTGGGAGGTCATTACAGCTTAACTAAAATCTATTAGAAAAATTATAAAATATAGGGTATAAATCACCGAAGTTGGAGTATGTTTCGGACATGCTATTTACAAAGGAAAGTGGCAAAGGTTTCTGCTGATATACTTCTCAATTTCATATTAAGTGAATAATATATGAAAGTTGTTGTTGTTTGTTATTAAGCACAAAAGGCTATCTGTGCTCTGCCCACCACGGGTATCGAAACCCGATTTCTAGCGTTGTAAGTCCGCAGACATACCGCTGTGCCACTGGGGGGCATATATGAAAGTAAAAAACTAGTGTTTGTGTGTCCCGTAAGTAAGGTATACTATATTATTTTTTTATTGTTACTTACATTAACAGTACTGTTTATAGTTTTTTGATATATTTATCTATAATTCTTTATTAGTATATTTTAATTCTATAATAGTATAGTGATTTAGGTTTACCCTAAACTACCTAAGATGGCCGAAACCTCGTGAGTTATTGTTGGGTTTATGGCCGAAAATACCACTAACAGTGAAGCTTGACATCTGAAAAAACAATCCATTCTAATCTTTATAAGTAATAAAACTATACTTAATTTAATAAACTACACACCTTAATTCACTTTTGGGACCAACACGAGAGGCAAACAGAAATAGTAAAAAGGTACAGATTAAAATATGGTTCTGCCAGGAATAGTGGAATTAAATATAATAGACAGATGCCCCATCAGAGGTCGCTTTTGTAGGATAAAAAGAGGTAGTAGTTTTATTTTTAGATGGGAAGAATACAGTGGCGAAAATTTCAAAATTTGGTTTGGGGGCGAGACCCGTCGAAAATCTGACATACTGAAACTAGAGATATTGCATATTTATGAAGGTTAAACATTTATGCATCGCAATCGGTAGGACGCGATTTGATTTTATAATATAGATATTTGATGCTGGTTAAAGGTTGTTGCTGTAAATATCCCAAAACGTTTACTTGGGAAATCATTTGAAAGATATCTGGTAATCTGTTATACAGCAATACAATTCAGCGATGATATAGCACAATCTGGCACTTGCATAGTTGAAATTTCAAAAGATAAAAACTTCAATCAAAAACATCCAACTACCGAGTCTTATAAAACTTACTAATATATACACGTGATCTGGCCCAACACGCCTTTTGGAATTTGGGTTCATGATAAAATATGTACTAATGTTTAATGGCGTGGATTCATATAATTTCCTACAAATTAAAGTGTGGGGACAATTGCCCTCCCCAAATATCTTCCACTTTTATATTTATATAATATTTTTATCTTCATTATGCTGACTGTTTTACGTATGAAAATTAGCACTATATTATGGACAGATTGGTAGGTTATTACTACTAGCCACAGTCCAGTGGTACAATGACCCCACTCCGCGGGTTACTACTCTCTCTCTCTACAAACATACAAAACCGTTTTTCACTTTCTTGACATCACAGTGACCATTCGAGGTTAAACAGCGTGACCTTAGACGCGGAGATTACACAAGAAGCGACAAACCAATGTTATCTACTGCTATAAAAGAGGTTTGAGAGAACTGTGTAAAACATATGGTCACCTAGCGGTCGATACAACGTAAACATATTTGTCCAAAACCACAGCAAAATGACCAGTAAGTTAAGATATTCGTTTTAATAACACATAAAATCTGTTTCTGTGTAGAACTTAAGATAACAAATCCTAGATTTGCTGTTAGAAATAAAGTGGTTTCAATTTTACCAGTACCACTTTTTATAACAATATAACTGTCTGGTATAGTAGTGTAACTGTTACCAACTGTGTAATGTAATTGTTATTAACTGTGTGGCATAGTAGTGTAACTGTAACTAACTGTGTAGTGTAGTAGTCTAACTGTTATTAACTGTGTGGCATAGTAGTGTAACTGTAACTAACTGTGTAGTGTAGTAGTCTAACTGTTATTAACTGTGTGGCATAGTAGTGTAACTGTTACTAACTGTGTAGTGTAACTGTTACCAGTTGTGCGATATAGTAATGTAACTGTTACTAACTGTGTAGTATAACTGTTATTAACTGTGTGGCAAAGTAGTATAACTGTTACTAACTGTGTAGTGTAGTAGTATAACTGTTATTAACTGTGTGGCATAGTAGTGTAACTGTTACTAACTGTGTAGTATAGTAGTATAACTGTTACTAACTGTGTAATGTAGTAGTGTAACTGTTACTAACTGTGTAGTGTAGTAGTATAACTGTTACTAACTGTGTGGCATAGTAGTGTAACTGTTACTAACTGTGTAATGTAGTAGTATAACTGTTATTAACCGTGTGGCATAGTAGTGTAACTGTTACTAACTGTGTAGTGTAGTAGTATAACTGTTATTAACTGTGTGGCATAGTAGTGTAACTGTTACTAACTGTGTAGTGTAGTAGTACAACTGTTATTAACTGTGTGGCATAGTAGTGTAACTGTAACTAACTGTGTAGTGTAGTAGTATAACTGTTATTAACTGTGTGGCATAGTAGTGTAACTGTTACTAACTGTGTAGTGTAGTAGTATAACTGTTATTAACTGTGTGGCATAGTAGTGTAACTGTGTAGTGTAGTAGTATAACTGTTATTAACTGTGTGGCATAGTAGTGTAACTGTGTAGTGTAGTAGTCTAACTGTTACCAGTTGTGTTGTTTAGACTGTCACCAGCCATGAAGGTTTCCATAGTTCTTCTGTCCGTTCTTCACTGAAATGTTTATGGAGGGCCTGTTGCTTCTGCAACTCATGGTTTTACACCATCCATTATAATACAAATACTGTTCATCACGTGGATATGATTGGTATAAAATCTTCACGTGTCATTAAATAATCTCACAATATACCATATAATTCAAATCACTAAAGTTTACCAGCTACCAACTTCACAAGTGTCAAGATGCCTGATCTCCTGATCGGAATTTAGGTCTTTTGTGACCTAGGAGGGTCAGGTACTCTA